GTGTAGCAGTGTTTAAAGTAGTTGATCTCATCAGTGTAGCAGTGCTTAAAGTAGTTGATCTCATCAGTGTAGCAGTGTTTAAAGTAGTTGATCTCATCAGTGTAGCAGTGTTTAAAGTAGTTGATCTCATCAGTGTAGCAGTGTTTAAAGTAGTTGATCTAATCAGTGTAGCAGTGTTTAAAGTAGTTGATCTCATCAGTGTAGCAGTGTTTAAAGTAGTTGATCTAATCAGTGTAGCAGTGTTTAAAGTAGTTGATCTCATCATGTAGTGTAGCAGTGATTAAAGTAGTTTAATCCATCAGATTGTTTATCACAGTTAAAAGTAATTGAACCAAAAAAAAATCATAGAGCTAAGCGCATAATGCCGCAGAATTTACAATAAATGTTTTATAAAACATACATTCCTGATTTAACTATTGATATAAAGTAATAAAACTTAACATTCGGGGAAAACATGAAGTGTTCTCAATGCCATACACTTTGTCAACGCGGGAGTAGGATAATGATAAAATAATACAATAATAAATATGTAACTAAAGCAGTTGAAGGATATCACACAGTAGGAGTGAGGAAGGTTTAATATCAATTAAACACCACCAGGCCAGGGGGAATTGTTAAATTAATTCAAAACAATAGTTTCAGTGAAGGATTCAGAATTATAAATTGTTTTTATAAACTCCGACAACTTAAAAATAAGTTTTGATCAGTTTTTACTTTTAGAAGCAATATTGAACAATTTTGAAATAATGATTGCGCCCCCCACCCCCCAAAAAAAAGTTAGTTTTCTCAGAGAATAAAATGACTTATAAATGACATGAAAAGTAAATCAAACCTTATTAGACTATTAAATATTCAAAAATTCATTATTCAGTTCAATATGAAATCTTTAAAGGGACCGTTCTCTCTTACTCTCTTTTTCTCTCTTTCTCTCTTTCATTTTTCTCTATTTCTCTTTTTCTCGCTTTCTCTCTTTCTCTATTTCTTCTTTCACTCTTTCTCCCTCTCTCTCTTTTTCTCTCTTTCTCTCTTTCTCTTTTTTTCTCTGTACACATTATACTTTCTTTTTAAAAGGATTACAGTCT